TATATATATATATATATATATATATATATATATATATATATATATTGCTTATGTAAGTGTAAATCATCTGAGACCTGCAGTATATTAATGTAAAAGTATTGCTGTTAATCATTCTTATTGTGATGTAATAACTCCTGTAAGCATCTGCTTTGGTATATCATCAGACATCACTCTGTTGCAGGCTCACTGGTCTCCGTTCAGCTAAAAGAAATAAAAATAAAAAAACACAAACAGTTTTTACTATTTGCTACATTTTATTTGCTGCGAGTCCAAAGCAGTTTTTCTTCTAATTCTCTATCTGTTTTATCGTAAGCGAACAATTTGCTTTGAAACGTCTTCAAAAAAATATAGCAACAGAAAACTTGTTGAATTTGCTACTTAAATATATTTTAAAAAGTTTTAACTGGAGTGTAAACTAAAAAAGTTTTTTGTAATTACTTAAGCTTTCCAAACATGTTTTAAAATCCCGAAAGAGTAAGCTGCAGACCAAGACATGTAAAGACTGATAACGCTGCGCTGTTTTATCTTTTCTGATGACTCATTTCGTTGGCTTTACTCCTCACGTTTGTGTCTTGTATATTTTTAGGTAGTCATTTCTGTAAAAGTTATTCTATGTATCCTTCCCTTGATCTATGAGAAACTCAATCTAATGTAAAGAGATAAAAAGAAACGTGTAATTTTTTTTTTTTTTTTACATGATTTATGGTACAATCACTGAAAGAATTTTTACCCTCATTTTAGCAAACTATTTATTTTTCTATGTACTGATGTTCTGTTTAGGTCAACCTGTACAATACTCATGCTATAATCTGTTGTGGAGGAATTTGTGGCGCTGCTGAGTCTAAAAGAGTCTATTCTTTTTTTTTTTTCTTTTTCTTTAAGCCCAGAGCTCATACTGTTGCTTCCTAATTAAGGAAATATTTTAAAATCCTTTGTACTTCAATTATCTCCTGTTAAAAATACCACATTTGGTCAACTTGCATAAAAATGAAACGTTACATTTTTTATTTGATTTTAAAACAATTTTTTTTCCCCACATTCTGAGCATTATTTGCTCTGCATAGCAACATGATGTAAAAAAAGATGTTACTTGGAAGATACCGCCACAATATGAAATGGTCCCTCGGCTGACAGTAATTTACAGATTTTTCCGGCAGGGGTCTTGCAGAGCACCAGACTGAGCAGCTTGTCAGAAACTCCTTCATTAACGTCTGGCAGAAATGCCGTCTGTAAATCCACACTGAGCTGCAAGCTGTTGTTTAAATCCTCGTCATTGTCTCCAGCACCCTCTTAGTGCTTCACTTCTTTTGTGGCGTATCAGTTCAGCAGGCGGACACTGCGCAGAATCCAGGGTCAACTTATCAACACCCTGTTTTCTCGGTTGATGTAAGAAATCTAAAGGTGTGTGAGAAATGAAAACACGCCTGTAGCTGGTCCCTGTAGCACCTCGTCACAGGGGTGGTTTTATATATATTTCTTTGCCAGGTTTCTGTCATTGATAATTCATGTATGTTATCAATAAAGAAGTTTTCACTGAAAATGTTGTTTTTCTCTTTGTATAAATGAATATAACCAGGACACCACTGCCTTTCTCTTTTTATGTTCGTTTTCTTAGATAATAACCTTATGAATGAAAATTAACATTCAACTGGTGGCCTGCGGGCCACTTCTGGCCCGTGGGTGACTTTAATCTGGCCCACCAGTGAGTTCATTTAAAAAAAAAAATTGTGTGCGTCTTCTGGGTTCGGGTTTGTTTTGGGTTCTGTTTATTGCATTGATTCAGTGCAATAAAATAAACCAATTTAAAAGGTAACAGATCATTATAATACGTGGTTAATTTACACTATGACTTTAATTTGGATGTCTGGCCCCTGAGCTGCTGCCTTTCAGTAACTGTGGCCCCTGAGCAGTTTAGTTGAACAGCCCTGCCCTAAAGTATTTTTTTACTTGTAATAAATGGAAAAGCCATGTAGGCTGGTAGCATAAAACCAATTATTACTTTTAGATATCGTGATGTCAAATAACCCCACAGCAGTATGAACATATAACGTGAAAACATGAAGGCTAGGCATTGACGAAGGAAGAATAATGTGCACATTTGGTAAAAAAGAAAAAGGAAATTAAATACTGTATGGCGTTCATTAAAATGCATTTCTTTTAACTGCCACGGTGCCACCTATTGTGTACTGCATTTTTACATTAAGCGTAACTTTATGCGTACAATATTAATCTTTCAGATTAGAGGCAACCACATCAAACTCCAAATAATCCAATTTATAGAGAAAACTAAACAACAGTGAAACATTTCATCTTAACTTTTATCATTTTATGATTTAAAAATAAAAAATATATATATATAGTTCTAGTTAAATATAAATATAGTTCCTGGCAAAAACCAATGCAGACATGTTTCTGTTTTTAGTTTTCTACACCGCCTTACAATCTAACAGTTTTTTTGCTACTTTTCCTTATTTAATTATCCTTTTAATTGCCATTTTATTTTCACTTGTTAAAAAAAAAAATATATATATATACATATATTTGTACACATCCTTTATGATTGTCTATTAGTGTCGTTGTTGTCCACTGTTGTCATCACTCTGTTCAATTCAGGTCTCTCTTGTAAATGAGTCCCCGAGGCTCAATGCGATTAACCTGTATAAATAAAGATAGAATTAATTTAAAAAAAAATTGAATATATTGAAGAATAGAATATTTCAGAGACCCCTCATATGGACACAGTGAAACATTTCTTTTATTTATCATTATTAATAATGGCAGTGGAAAGACATTTTATTTAAAAGTTCCTGACAGCAAAACCAAAAAACTTTCTTCTTATTATTATTTTATTTTTTTTGTGAACATGCATTAGTACATTTGTATGCTGGCATATAGATAAAACAAAAAAGGATGTGTTTGTTTTTAATTTGCAAGTTTCCTGTGATTGAATCATCGAACAATGCTGCATAAAATGGTAGTTTTGTTTGAAGCTTCTGTTCAGCATGGCTAAAAATACAGCAGAGGTTTGAGAGAATCAGAAACAATGCTATCAAAACAACAAAAAACCAAAGGTTGGAGACAGTATAGTCTGAAACGACGGATTTTAATGCAGTATCACCCAGTTCTGCTAACTTTTGGACAGAGCTGTGCCTTCAGAAAGCAAACAGATTGACACACGTCCCCAAAAGCTCAAACTAAAGCTGCAAACTGGCCAACAATGAATTTATAATAATAATAATGATAAAGAATATCCTGTTAACTTTCTTCTACAACTTTAATTCTGACAGCAAAATGCAATGATTTGCAAATCTCATAAACCCATATTTTGTTCATATGGTGTTAAAACCCAATAAGTTGTGGGGTTTTTTTTTTTGGTAAAAAATAAAATAAAATCAGGTGAACTTGTTGGCAGCAACACATCTTTAAATTTTGAACAGAGCCATGAAGCACCCCCTCTTCTTTTTGGGGACCTCCTGAAGGCAGCCCTCTATTATTATCCACCTGAAAAGAGTTGCTCTTTAATGCGGCCCGAACCGCAACGTGTTTTGTGCACCCTGCAAATATTACTGTCACTGCCATTTTTGAGTTACCATGACGACGTAATTTGCAAACAGAGACGCCATTTTTCTCATTGAAAAACACAGAAGTTTCTAACAGCTACAGCGAGTGTGGCAGTTAGAAGTTAGCTGGAGTGGGGAGGTCTCTGAACAAAACTCGGTAAGTCATCCAACAATCTCTTCCACATCTTTTAAGATACACACACATATTATTTATCAAAACGTGGGCATTTTTGTACTCTAAACTTTAAGAGAGCCGCCACGCACGCGGCAGTCCCCGTCAAAGTTTCTCCAGGAACTTTCTACTTTTAATTAGCTATTTAGCTTTTAGCTAGCAGTTAAACAGTCTTCGGTCCTTTTTGTTGGATTTTTTTATTTTTATTTTTTTGTTTCATGGTGCACCTAAAGGCGTGATATGTGCTATTACTTTTATTTGCATTTTGAGTTACCGTGGCGACGTAAGTTGCAAAGAAGCCATTTTTCTCATTGAAAAACACTGAAGCTTCTAACTGCCACAGTGAGGTCACATGACCTGGAGAGGAGAGGAGAGGTCTGAACAAAACTCAGTAAGTCATCGTCATCGAACAATCTCTTCCTACCACCACATTTTTAAGACACACAAACATATTATTTATCAAAACTTGATCATTTTTGTCATCTAAATTTTAGGATAGCTGCCACATGGCAGTCCCCGTCAAAGTTTCTCCAGGAACTTTCTTCTTTTCATTAGCTATTCAGCTTTTTTCAACAGTCTCAGGTCCTTTTGGTTGTATTTTTTGTTTCATGGTGCACCCAAAGGCAGGCTATCAGCATCCTGACTGTAACTACAAAGCCATGTTGTTGTAATGTGGTTCAGGATTGTCTTGCTGAAATACGCAAAATGTTCCCCATAAAATTCATCATTTGGATGGGAGCTTAGATTCTAGAATTGTCCTAGAATTGCGACTATCAGAGTGGCTGCATGTTGGAGTAGCTTTGTTACATTCGTCTGGAGATTTGGCTTTTGAAAACTTAAATTCCTATTTTTTTCTGGATGCAAATCACTTTTTTCGGATGATTGTTTCCTCTGGTATCGGAAGCTGTGCAGCTGGAAGGATTTTTACTGAAACCTTTTTACTTTTGAGAATTTGTTATGATGCGTAACCATGGCAACAATGAGGTTTTTCTATACCTGGGAGCAGCTGATTAACATCTCAAAGCTCAAATACCTCAACTACAGCCCCAAATCCCAAAATGAGTTGAAAAGGAGGCGTCGTGGATGAATTCCCGTCAACCTGATGACGGTGCTCGAGTACCTGACCGCAGAGATCCTGGAACTGGTGGGAAACTCGGCTCGTGACAATGGGAGGACAGGGATCATCCCCCGGCACCTTCAGCTGTCTGTCTGTGGTGACAAGGAGCTTGGCAGACTGCTGGGAGGAGTGACCATCGCTTAGTGAGGAATTCTTCCCAGCATTTGGGCAGTCCTGCTGCTCAGAAGGACCAAGAGGCCCCCCGGATCTGACAGCAAGCTGGATCCGGGTGGATGGATCGGTATCTGTGGCCAGATTCTTCGGATTTGCTGCAGGAGATCCTTCCTGCCCACAGCATCTATTACAACTCTTGAATGAAACCAGGATGATGAGCTACGACAACACCTAATTTCCCTTTAATGTCAATGTCAATTTATTTATATAGCACATAAAAACAACAAAAGCTGACCAAAGTGCTTTACAGTTAAGACAGATTAAAAAATTAAAAAAAGAGTAAAAATGCATCTAGTGCCACTCAAAAACAATCTAACAACCTTTAGGATTAATAAAGTATTTTGAATTGAATTGAACTGAAATATGTATATACTTTTTATGCATAGCTTGTGCCTTTTCATGCAGCCCATACCAAAGGCAGTAATGCACCGACATACCATCAGAGAAGCAAACCTGTGCCCTGCTAACAGGCCTGATGGTCTCTCTTCTTTTTAGCATTCTGATCATGGTTTCCAAAACATTAATTTAAAAAGTAATTTGTTTAACCAGTAACTCTTTTCCACTTTGCTTCAGTGTATTTCAAATGAACTTTAGCCCACAGAGTATGGCAGCCTTTCTGGAAGGCGTTCACACATGGCTTCTTTTTTACGACAGAGCATTAGCCTGTATTTATGGATGGCACCATGTACTGTGTTTACAGATGATTTTCTGTGTTCCTGAGCCCATGCAGGGATGTCCGGATCAGAATCAGACCTATTTTTAATGCAAGTGCTTGGGGACCCGAAGACACTGACTTTCTGCCTTGTCCTTTGAGCTCAGAGATTTCTCCAACTTCTTGAACTCTTTTGATGATGTGAACTGTACAGAATGGGATATGTAACGATTTTCCAATTATCTGTTAAGGAGTATTATTCTGAAATGTTCCACTATTTTTAGACAGTTGTTCACAGACTGGTGAACCTCTGCCCATCTTTACTTCTGAGAGCCTCTCTGAAATGTTCTTTGTACACACAGTCCTCCTGCTGGCCTGTTGCTAATTATCCATGTTCCATTGTGACCCAAAAAAAAAGGTTTAATGCGATTTGCAAGTCATTGCATTTTGTTTTTATTTACATTTAATGCCCCGGCTTTGTCAGAATGTTGCAAGTGTACACAAAGCCGGATCACTTTTTTTAAATAAGAAATAGGCTAATTGTTGTGTCTTAAAAACAGAATATTTTAGGGTGTTGATTGTACGCTGGCATGGTAAGGCTGTGGTTCACGTGCAAAAGCTTCTTGTTAAATGTTCTGTTGGTAGCTTAAAGGATTATCTTGTAACTGAAGACATAGAGCTGAGGTAAACCAGCGAGCGTGCTCCTGATTAAGAAGACAAGACAACAAACACTCTTCTTTTCTGTTAGACTCTCTCATATGTTTCCCTCCAGTTCTCTGACAAGTAAAAAAAAAAAAAGGCATCAGAGTCACACTTTTTATGTTAAACACGACAGAAAATGTTTTTTTTTTTTTTTTTTTTTCCACGAAGTCTCTGTTCCCCACAAAATACACCCCAGAACCAGTGATTCACATGGATGAGCCTCGTCTGAGTCAGGTTTAATAAGAGCTGTTGTTCCGTGAGAGATGGCTGTAATCTAGCGCTGACTCGCTCGGCTGCAGGGTCACAACATGAGGCCTTTTTTTTCAGCTGTTTCCAACATGAGCAAGCTTGCTAAAATAGTTCAGAGATGTTTTTTGGCAGCCTGTAGATATTTGTGTTTGCACAAACTCCCACTCCCTAGAGTTTCCTTCCCATATTCTGCATATTTGGGCCACTTTTTTTTTTATTATTTGGACGCGGTGCTGTCGCAGGGTCGGCTCGCTTTGCATGAACTGGATGACAACTAAATGTGATTTATTGATTTTTTTAGCCAGTAAACAAATAAGTTGACGGAGGAGAGAGGCGGTAATGCTCCTTTTCCTTTTTTGACCTCTGCTGGAGGGTCATAAAGCATTAAAACAAAACAACAATACTTCCACCCTTACTCGTTTCAGCATTTGGAAAACCACAGGAAAAATCCCAATTGCTTGAAGGCAGGTCTGTCAGTCATTTAACTCTGCCTCCCAGTCCCTCCCATTCCTTTTCTGTCTCTCCTCCAATCCCTCTTCTCCCTCCCTCCCTCCTTGTTTAGTGCCAGTGGTGTGCTGGCCAGCAAACACACAACTTTACAACAGGAGCAGTTGGTTTCGGACTCTAACGCTCTGAAAGGTTCACATGTTAAAACAGCTGGATCTGAGCCAACCCAGTGAGAAAGGTGAGGCGACTGAAAGAAAACTGTTACCTGCTCACTGCTTTATGCTCGTCTTGTTCTTTATGTTATTATCTGTTGCTGATTTTTCACCTTCTCTCTCTTCTTTGGTCTCAGAGTCCACACCTTGAAGACATGCTTGGACACCTTACATCCAGAGTGCTGGTAGGCAAAGTCAAGTCTCCTCAATGATTAACAATATTTGTTTTTAAATATCAGCATAAAATGATGTCGTTTGTGGCCTTTTTTCTATCCAAATAGTTAAGTTTTGAGTACCCCAGAAAATTAACGTGATGTAAAATTATATTTTGTTCTGGCTGGTTATGGGAAGAGACGAACAGGGTGCGGGATAAACACAGTTAATGCAGGTATCTGAGGTGGAAGCAGCACTTCTGTGTGTTTGCTTTGTAAACACTGTCAGGTTTCTTGAAGTTTTCCAGACTTTTCTTGTAATTCAAAGAAAAAGAAAACGTCGTGGCCTCCCACTGCCCGTGAAAATCTCCAGAAAAATACAGAATGAAAAGGAAGCAGCTTAATGCAAACATAGCAGCATTTTTTTCCATCATGACTCTGTAGGAAACTGTTTCATAACACTCCCTGACTGACTCAATCTGTGAATTTTTACGTTTCCTCTTCTTCTTTTTGTGTCATCATGTTTATACTCTTTCTCTCGCTTCCAGGCACTTTTAAGCAAAGTTCGTGTCATGAGTTAATCACTCCACAAGCCTGTTTCTTCCTGTTCAACACCACCCCACCTGATCTGACTCACAAACATGGGGTTATGTGTGAACATGAGGAGTTGGAGATGGAGGGGCAGCTCTGGAACATCCAGAGGTTTGATAGGAGCCATGCTGCTGGGGCTCAGCTTGGCTCAGAACTGCCCAGCAGGCGAGACCCAGCAGAACCTCACCCAGCCTTTGTATCAGGGACTGGCCAAGATTCACAACGGGGTGGACTTTTTGACCTCCTTTGTCCAGTCTTTCCTCTACACAGTTCAGCCTCGCCCTTTTCCTGAAGGTAGGTACCATAAGTCAGGGGTTCTCAAACATTCTGTGTTCAGGGACTCCTTACAGGAGAGAAAAAGATTCAGGGACACCTCAAAGCCCTCATGTTTATTCATTAATGTTCTTTAATTTGTCTCTTTAATGCAATGGAAATATTTGTGTAACATAAATACGTAAGACCTGTTCTTTAATAATGTTAATACAATTTTTATACTTTCTTTTAAACGTGGAGTATTTTTCATTCAAGACACACTTAATTAACAAAAATTTTAATTTCAACTTCCAAAAATAACAGTTTTGAGAAAATTAACAGCATCAAAAACACTTTGAGACTTTGCGTATTCACAGAAGGAACATAATAAATGTACTTCTTAAACTCTTTACATAAAACTGAACAGAATCATAACAGCAGTCGTCAAACCCAGTAACAGGGATTAATTTGTAAACCGATTGATGCCGGAACGCAAATAGCAGGGGGGGGGGGGGGGGGGATATCTGAGGTTCCTCCCCCCCAAAATTTTGAATAAAGTATGTGTGATTTCCTGCATTTTGGTGTATTTGAATGGGTTGTTAAACATCTATATGCTTGTAATAAAAATGAAAAAAATAAAAAAGTGGACCCCCCTCAAGCACCAATTCATGGTCCGAGGACCCCAGTTTGAAAACCACTGCCATAAGTGGTGCAGAATCGTGCTGCTGATGCTCTTTCTTCACAGCTTTTGTTGGTGGATTTCCTGCTGCCGGCCCAGAAAACAATCGGCTGCAATTGAAACCGCATTAAAATTCTGTGGATTCGTCGCTGTGCAAATATTAGGGTCAGAACTGGGACAAGATGAAACAAAACGCAAAGCTAACATGATAAATCAGTAAGTTAATGGGAGTTCTTGTGTTTGGCCTGGTCAACCATTAACCTTTATGTGCCTTTAAGTTGTTAGGCCGATTGTTTCCCCTCTAAGACCACACCTCTCATCTCATGTTTGTCACAGTTTTCTGTAAATGCCCTATAAACTCGTTTCTATTCCGCGTATCCCTTACGATTTAATACGGATTTCAAAGGAGGGGATTTATGAATGCAAAAACCTGCCTGACAACCTTTGACCATCACGCTTATTGTAAACTCGCCATTAGTCATTTGTCGCTGATGTTAAGAAACACAACTTTTGATGTACAGTATAGTGAAAAGTTTCATTTGTACTCAAAGACAAACATGTGCAGTCAGTCAGTTAGGAGGACGGTTAATTATTAACCTCCAAGTTATAAATGAATTAATGTTTGAAAATGTATAAAAGGAAAAAAAAAAACATTTTTGCTTTTGGATGTCACACAGACTGAAAAAGAAACATTACCGGGAGTGTTTGCGTGAATAAAATCCACAATAGCAGGGTTCCAGGTAGCGTAAATGACAGGCTGTCATTGTAATCTCACCACAAGGCCGTCCTGGTTTCCTAGTAACTGTAAGATGTTGGTGTCAGATTTCCTTTCTGACAATGTGAATTGATGCCATGTTTTATGTGGGGTAGGACATGTTGTGTTTGAGGTCAGCTGATTTTATTTTTTGTTGTTAAATCGTTGAACATTGTGACGGGTGGAACCGCGTCAATACGGTTCGCACAAAACAGGATGTAGCAACTCATTCTTCTGTTTCTTTCTAGATTTATTCGTGAAACTATTCCAAGTTTCTGGCAATGTACAGTCAGATCAAGAATTCGTGAAAGAAGTGAGTAAATTATATGTTTCATTTATAAACTGTTGGGGGGGCGCATTACAGGATGTGAGAAAAAGGAAATTGTCCGTTAAGCCACTTGAGCTGGAAACCTGAGAGCATCTTTGTGTGGATAATTCTCAGTGTTCTGAAGTTTCAAGAACTTCTTTGTCCCCTGTGAAAGTGTGAAAGCTGAGTCACTCAGTAAAAACAGAACAGCTTCAGTTTTCCTGTATTTTTATTTTGTGCAATGTTTGATTTTAACTACTTTGGCCTACTTGGTGCTGTTTTAGCCATTCAAACATTAAATGTTCAGCTCATTTAGGAGATGGGTGCTATGACATTTGGTTTTTGTAGGATTACGGTTATACTTTTCAAATTATTTAAAAGTATTTCTCATCAAAATACACTGAAATAAATGCATCCTTCAGAACCATTGTTCTTGCTGAAATCTGCTTCAGTACACTTTTTGGTCTTGCTATGCTACTTAAACATTTTACTTACTGTTGCACTGCTTTTAGCTACTTTAAAAGCTAGCCTTTTGCTACTTTTCTCCTTTCACTATTTAGGATACTTTATGCTATTTTACCATTTGCTACTTTCACTGTTAGCTAGTCTTCAGATACGTTACTTTAGGTTTGACCAAGCTTTTTAATACTTTTATCTAGCCTTTTCCTACCTAGCTAGCTATTTGGTATTTTTAGTTTTTAATTAACCCTTTTCTTATTTAACTAGCATTTGGTTTTTATGAGTTTTTGACATTTTGCTACTTTAGCTTTTAGTAAGCATTTTGGTACTTTTAGCTAGCCTTTTGTACATTTTTTTTTTTTTCATTATCAAGGCATCTTTATTCTTTGATCCACTTTTAGATTTAATAAAAAAACCGTTGGGGCTTCATGGAAAAATGTTAAGGCGAAGTCACAAATGCAGCAAAGTGGCTTCAACAGATACAAAATATCCATTTATAGGAATGTTGTTTTTGGAGAGGCGGAGCCTAACAGGGTGCGCCTACAGAAGAGCTGAGGGGGGTCTAAATGGTCTGGGGGGTTGGGGGTCCCGCTGTAGGTAGTAGCCTTTTGTACAGTTACTTTTGATGCGGTTTCCACTGTCATGGCGTGGGACAGTGGAAAAGGGGCATTAGTTAGCTTTTCAGTACAATTAGCTTTTAGCTTCTTTTTTTTTTTTCTGTTTTAGTTCATGTTTTGCTTCTTTTACATTTTCTTTGGCCCCTCTCACGTTCTTGGTACTACTTGGCTCCTTTTAGGTTTTAGTTAGTGTTTTGCCTTTTTTATTATTTTTTTTACCGTACTTTTCGGACTATAAGGTGCACTTAAAATCCTTAAATTTTCTCAAAAATCAACAGTGAGCCTTATAATCCGGTGTGCCTTACTGTATGTATTAATTCTGGTTGTGCTTACTGACCTCAAACTGATTTTATGTGGTACACGGCGTTCAAAAATCTGTCAAAATGAACTTGTTTCGCTTAATGCGCCTTTATAATCCGAAAAATATGGCACTTGTGTCCTGCTCCTTTTAGCTTTAACTTCTCAGTTTTAGCTTCTTCAGTAGAGTTCAGCAAAATCTTTCAGCAGGGTTTTCATATTTCTTCCGTTAAGACGTGGTACATTATTAACACACAGAACACAGTAAAATAAACTATTATTAACAAGATATCAGTATATAGTTTATTTTTACTGTGTTCAATGTGTTAATGACGGTTAATTAATTTTTGATAATTATCATGCCATAAAGGCTAAGATGGCGGTTCTTTGTGACCTACTTTTATATCTATTATTAACAAGTCAATAAACAGATATAAAAGTAGGTCACAAAGAACCGCCATCTTGGCCTTTATGTCATTTTAATTGTAACCCCATCTGTGTGCTGCTTTCAGATTCTGATCTACGAAGTGGGCTTCCTGGTGTGTGTTGCCATCGGTGTTTTGTACATCGTCCTGATGCCCATCGTTGGTTTCCTCCTGGCTTGCTGTCGCTGCTGTGGCAACTGTGGTGGGAAGATGTACCAGAAGCAAACATCCTCCACTCACTGTCTCAGGAGAACTCTTTACCTGAGCGTGTTCGCGATCACAATCATTATCTTGTGAGTATCACTGCACGTGTGTGTTCTTGTAGTTTTGACAGGCAAGATGATGCATTTACTCAAACTGGACTGCTCGACAGCCTGCATGCATTTGCATTGGTTCAAGTGTGTGTGAATGTGTGCATCAAGCAAATTTGACTCTTTTTACATGAACAGTTTGGGTTGATTTTCTTTATTTTGACAGCGCTGGTAATATCTGCATGTTCAGAAGCAACGAAGCTCTTAAAACGAGCGTGGAGAAAGGTCCACGGGAGCTCAACCACACCATAAGCAACATCCACACCTTCCTCACAGCTGTGCCGCAGGCAAGACAAACTATAATAATTAGAAGCTGTTTTACAAGTGCTTCCCTCATAATATGCTTTCATCCCATTTATATGTGAGATTAAAATAATTCCCACCAGTCCACGGATTTAAGCGCAGCTCGTTATTCTGTTGTGTCAATGTCCTTATCTTAAGGTACAAGAGTGTGGAAAGGTTGACAGAAAGAGATTGTGTTTCAGGATGTTTGCCTGTAAAACATCATTACTCATGGGACTTATTGTAGGTGATATCAACATTACACGCCGTGACACTTTGCTTTTCTCTTGCGCTTTTCTTTAGCAAATAAATGACGTAGTGGATGAAAGCTTCAGAACCATTCAAGAGGTTACCAGAAACTTGGATGGTAAGAACTGGGAAACAGTAGTGTCAAAACAGGAAGCATTTTATTTCCTCCCTCGTGACTCAGTTGATCGTTATATACTGATTTATCTGCATATTGCAGAGATTGGACCTCAGATGGGAGCAGAAATCCAAAAAAGCTTTAGAGGAACGTTCGACCCAGCCCTGCAGTCCATCAGACGTCTGAACAATGGTATGGTTTGTCGTCCTGCACCGGTACGATCATTCAAATGCTTGCATGCACATTTGCATATGATTCTGCTGAGGTGTTCGCCTCACAGAAGGTCACGTGCAGCAGGTGCATCTAAAAAAAAAAAAAGAGAATATTGTGGAAAAAGTTCCGTATTTTTTGTCAACCATATCGAAAAGTGAAAGTGAGTCTTCATTGCTTGTTATTTTCGATAAATGTCTTACAGATAGTGAAAAACTAAAAGTCAGTGTCTCAGAAAGTTAGAATATTGTGAAGAGGTTCAATATTAAAAATTCATAGTGTCACACCCTAATCAGCCGATTACCGTATTTTTCGGCATATAAGGTGCACCGGATTATAGGGGGCATTAAGTGAAACTAAAACATTTTGACAGATGTTTGAGCGCCGTGTCGTACTACATAAAATCGGTTTGAGGTAGAGCTGTCATTTATAACCAGAACCCGAAGCCCGGACCGACCCGGATTAGGGCTGGGTTGAGCCGTTATAATGTGATTCATGGGCGGGCCAGGCCGGTCTCGTGCTTTTAATTAGGTCAGGATCAGCTGCAGTCTAATTATATGATAACATGGCCTGCCATACACCCACCAGCCGCACGCAGCCATTTCACCGCGAGCTGTATGACTGCGGGCTGGGGCCGGGTCGCATCAGATTTTTTGGGCCCGAATGCAACTCTAGTTTGAGTTCAGTAAGCACAACCAAAATTAATACATAAGGCACACCGGATTATAAGGTTCACTGTTGATTTTTGAGATAATTAAAGGATTTTAAGTGCGCCTTATAGTCCGAAAAATACGGTAACTCCTAGACATGAGCTACAAATATCTCATTCCTCACGTCGAGCCACTCCTGAACCAGAGACATAATCAGAAGCATCTTACCTGCTGAGGAGAAAGAGATTTTTTTCTCTTTCTTATAACTGAACATATAATTGCTTAACGGACTGTTGCTCAGTGGTCCAACGTCCTCTTTGCAAATGAAAGTAAATTTAGCACGTTATTTGGAAATCAAGGTCAGAGTCTGGAGGAAGAGTGGAGAGGAACAGAATCCATGTTGCTTGAAGTCCAGAGAGAAGTTTCCACAGTCATTGATGGTTTGGGTCCATGTCCTCTGCTGGTGCTGGTCCACTGTGTTTTTTGAAGTCCTCAGTCAACGTAGCATCTACAGGACATTTTAGAGACTTCATGCTTCCTTCTGCTGACAAGCTTTATGGAGATGCTGAGTTCATCTTCCAGCAGGACGTGTCTCCTGCCCACACTGACAAAGGAACAAAAGCTGGCTGTGGAATATTCTAATTATCTGAGACACTGAGTTTTGATTTTTCATTATTTGTGTTATGGCCTCAGGCCTGTATGCCTTACACAGATGGCAGAGATCTTATAGCAGTAAGCCATAATCATCAAATTTACAAGAAATAAAGGCTTGAAATATTTCACTCCATGTGTAATAAATTTATATAATATGTGAGTTTCACTTTCTGAAAATGATTGAGAATTTATTTGAACTTTTTCTTGATATTTAATGTTTTTTAGATGCACCTGTACATTTTCATTGCATTGGCATTATCTTAAAAATTAAAAAGTCCCAATTGATTGTATTAAAAAAGAGTGACCTTTTATTTTTCTAGTGCAAATATATAAAGATGCAAGTAATGACAGAAATAAATTAAATTAAGTGATAAACGAGCCAAAAATCAGTAAGTCAAATCATCAAGTAATTATTCTGTGACTTGTTGACAAGTCAAAATTCTGCATCGAGTGCAATGATTTATTCATCAAAATCCCAAATATGTAACGTTTTCAAAAACTTTGACTCCTTTTTCTTTTCTTATAATTGTTTTGCAGTCATTTATTTAAAAATAAATTTTCCGAGTTCAAAGGATTTGATAGTTTTTGAGACATCACCCCTTCCTGTCTGGTGATATTAAAGTGTTATCGTGTGAAACTGGAACTTGACCCCTGTGGACATTCCTCTATTTAAAAAAGTTTCTTAGCAGACTCGGCAGAGGTATGGAAATATCTGATTTGCTTTTCTAAAGGGTGGGTGAACATTGTTTCTTGAAAATAGTTTATTTTATATTGCAGTGATCAGCATTTATTTTCAGTTTTAACACCTAGCTGTCCAACACAGTCAAGTTTATAATAAAAAAAGTCCATAATGCACAAAAATGTGTCGATTCTGCCACAAGAAATTATTATTTAAAATATGAATAATTAGTAAAAACTCAACAGCAAATAATTTAAATAATCAAATGTGATAACCTTTTTATAGTTTTTACCTTATTTTTCTTTCCTTAATGTGTTTTTCAATATCAAAATTTAGTTTAGCGATATCAAATTTAGTATTTTTTTCTTTCTTGATTAGTTTTAATGTGTGTTTCATTTGACCAAGCAGAAAGTTTAAGCATCAAAACTCAGCTGGACAACTTGAGCTCGTCTCTGGTCCAGCTACAGTCCAGCATGGACCGGGTCCAGGCCAACGTGACAGCCGTTAAAACCCAGATCAACCAGACGCTGTCCAAACCGAACTGTACCGGCTGTGACGGCCTCAGTGAAGAGCTGCAGAAACTAACGATAGACACCAACATCTCTGTGAGTACGAATTCTGCACATGGACCATTCTTGTTTTTTCTTCCTGATTGGGTGAACTGGTTCCTCGAATGGCTTCGTGACAAAAGTAATAAAAAACAAGAGCTGAACGTTCACCCCTGTGAGCTGAAGTGTTTTACTGAAGAGACGAGTCAGCTTTGACTACATGATGCAGGCAGAGAATCTGCTCAGGCACATTTTCATCAGTAAACTAGAGAAATTGCAAAATGCAGTGTGAATGCTTATTGCAGAAGAACTTGCTGAAAAACAGCTGACATTAGCTAAAAACACTTGCTGAAATGTAGCTGAAATGGAAGAACAAGCCTAAGTTAGCAGAAGAATGCAGAAAGAACACATAATTGCTTAATTAGGTTTAAATAAACAGAAATTACAAAAAAAAGAAAAAGAAAATTAGCTAAAAAAAAGCTGAAATTAGCAACAAAAAAAGTGAAAAGGCAGAAAGAAGCTTAAACTAACAGAAGGAAGTGGAAAGAGCTGAAATGAGCAAAAAAAGTAGAATTAGCCGAAAAAGCTACAATTAACATAAAACAACTAAATAGTAGCTGAAATAGCAGAATAAACTGAAACTTGTAGAAATAAGCTGAAAGGACCATAACAAGATGAAATTAGCAGAAATAAATTAGAAGAAGCACAAAAATGTTGTAGTTTGCAGAAAGAATGGGAGCACAAAACAGCTAAAAAAAGAGCTGAAATTAGCTGAAAAATAGTTTAAATTTGCACAAGGAAGCTGAAAGAAGCTGAAGTAGAACAACATGTGAAGCGAGCAGTACAAGGTTGTAAACAGATCGAAAGATTTGAAGGATGTAAAATGAGCTCAATTAATTTCGAGGAAATGGCAGAAAAGGCTAAATGTTTCAAAAAGCTAAAGTTGCACCAATACCAAAAGTTATAGCAGTATTCTCCTGAAAGAGCTGAACCTTTTGATGTATGATTTGTTGAAATAGCTTGAAAAGTGTGATATTTTTTTTAAAAGAAGAGTTAATTCCTCTTCTTTTCAACTCCTCACCCCTTCCAAAACTCCTACTCCTTTCTATCCTTGATAAATTTCTTTCCTCTGGCTTCCTATTCTTTCTTTTTATTTCTATACTTGTACAATTAAAATGCTTTTAATGCTATTTTAAGCTAAAATGAGATTTTTATGTTGACAAGAGGAGCGTCACTCTGCTGCCCTCTGCTGTATTTTCTGTGTAATGACACATTACTGGTTTTACACAGTTTGCGTGTGCGTTTCCCAGATCACCAGTCTGCATCAGTTTCAGTCTGCAGTGGATGAAGTCATCAAAGCGGATCTCAAGTCCAAAATAAATGAGGTCAGCGAGAATTACAAACCAAAACATCAGACAGTAAACACTGGGACAGATTCTGACTGAAGATGATGCCATTTAATGTGAAGTAAGGGGTTTGTCCCCACTGAGGTAATGATGGTTAGTCTGTTTTGTCAGAAAACAGTAAAGCTGTTTATGTTATCACTTTCTACCGAAAGGTGAAGGTCGATGCCTGTGCCTGCATGTGAGTGTTTGCATGCATGTCCGTTAGCAAAATATCTCATAAACCACTAGATACCTTTTAATGAAACTTACAGAAAGTAATCACTGGATGTACATTTACAATTCATAAACTTTTGGAGCCAACCCAATTCAAAATGACTGCCCCAGTCAGCTGACTTTAGAAAACACAAATGTGGCTATATTGTGGTCGATTTTACAGCTATTGTGCTGAAACTTGGAATTGTTATAGATTAGACTCATTCACAACACATATCTTAAGCATGACTCGTCCGGCCAGATCTTTGCTTAAACTTTAGCATTAACTATCGGAAACATCCTGTTTGTCTGTTATCAAAATATCACACTAACAAGTGCATGCATTTTAATCAGAGTCAGAGTCAGAGTCAGAGTTTCTTTATTGTCATTCGCACCTCATGTGGTACATGTGGTGGAGCGAAATTATGTACGCAGGGTCCCAGTTACATCCGACAATAAAATGTATAAGTAAAACAGTAATAACATCTAAGATATGAACTAAGAAAAACATCAACTAAATATACACTAAGCACTCATAACATAAAACATTGAACATCAGCACAAACATGAACATGAGTCTGTGAGCAGATGTGCACGCATGAACACATCAACATTGAAACAGATCAGCAGCAACATGAAACAGATCAGCAGCAACATGATATGGTTTTTCACAGTGATTATTCTAGTTAGAGATTCATGAGTCTAACAGCCTCAGGGTAGA